CCCAAACTGGATAAAACAGCTGTTCAGTTGCACTTCTTTCTATTTAGTATTCTGTATTCACTGCTCTTCTCTACATAGGAGACACCAAATGCAGTCTGGGTTAACTGCTTTGTGAATACCACCATTCAGTCCACCAGCTCTGGTTGCTGTCATTTTATTCTCCACCCTCCAAAGACTGAGCTCTCTACATTGCTCTAATAAAGCCCAATATACGCTCAACAAACAGCACCTCATCTTTCTATAGCCACTTTATACAGGCTTTTGGACTCAACAACTACAGACTATTTCCCTTGTTTCCATTTTTTGGACAGCAGCTAGTGATGATGATTCTGCTATTCATATTTACATCGGTTTTAGATCCAGCACTATTTTCTTTACTTGTCTCAATACCACCCTGGTATTACATTGCACCATGAATATCCCTGGCTTCCAAAGACCTTTTCCTTCATTCTTCCTCACTCAACTACCTTGGTCTCTGTAATTGTTTAAAACCTGCAACATAACTAACATCTTCTGTTCTAACTAGTCATTGATTTAAAATGCCAACTTTGTTTCACCCTTCACAGCTGCTGCCTGGTCAACTGATTATTTCTAAAGGTTTGTTCTTATGTCAGATTTCCAGCACTGGCAGTATTTCACTTTTGTACATTCTACTACTGTATTTGATAGCTTACAATTAGAAGGCCTCCACAAATGGTTCAGAACATACTCTCTCCATCTTCTTTTCAACACAAACAGGGCCAGTTAAACAGACAAAAAAGGCAGGAGAAGGCCAAACAAATCTGCTCCACCATTCAATATGATTATGGCTGACCCACGAAATCATATTACCATTTTCTCCCCCGACCACTTGATGCCACTAAAGTCTAAAAAATTGCCTCTTTCTTGAATGTATGCAATGACTTGATCTCCACAATCTCCTGTAATAAGAGAATTCTCCTTTGAGTGAAGATATTTTTCCTCATCTCAGTCCTAAGTGGTCCACCCCACACCTGAAGTCTGTGACCCCCTAGTTCTCAACTCCCCAACCAGGGAAAAGATCCTCCTTGCATCTAGTCTCTCCAGCCCTGTTAGAATTTTTCCATTTCAATTAGATCCTCTCTCTTTCTTCTAAACTTGAGTGAATACAGGTCCCCGTCAAACCAATCTTTCCTAATAGGACATTCCTGCCAATCCTAGTATCAACCTAGAGAACCTCCACTGTACTCTTACTATGGCAAATATAGCATTTTTTAGATAGGGAGACCAAAAAGACATTTAATACATCCAAGTAGGGCTAAAGGGAAAATATAGTGGTGCGGTAGTAATGTCGCTGACCTAACAATAGAGAGGCTCAGCAGGCATTTGATTCATCAATGCCCTTCAGGGAGGAAAATCTGCTGTCCTTACCTGGTCTGGCCTACATGTAACTCCAGACCCACAGCAAAGTGTTTGACTCTTAACTGGGAATTAGAGATGGGGCAATAAATGCTGGGCCTTGTCAGCAACGGCCACATTCCCCAAACAAATTTTTAAAAAGGTGTTGTCTCATCAAGGCCCTACATAACTGCAGTAAGGCATCCTCTTATCCACTCATTCAAATTGTCTAAGTCACCTTAGAAGCCTCCTTACAATTCACAATCCCACTCAGTTTTGTATCATCAGCAAACATGGAACTGTTGCATTTGGTTCCTTTATCCATGTTATTTATATATACCCTGAATAGCTGAGGCCCAAGCACCAATTCTTGTGGTACCCCACTAATCACTGCCTGCCACTCTGAAAAATTCCTACTCATTCTCACTCTTTTTTTTCCTGTTTGTCAACCAATCTTCAATCCATGCCAATACATTACTCACTATCCCATTTGCTTTAATTGCACCCTCTAACCTCATTCCAAAAATCCAAATACACCTCATCACCGGTTCTCTCTAATCTGTTCTATTAGTTACATCCTCAAAGAGCTCCAATAAATTTGTGAAGAATGATTTGTCTTCTATTAACCTATGCTGCCTTTGTCCAACCTCATTAATGTTTCTCAAGTGTTTCGTTATCACATCTTCTAGGATAGACATTAGCAATTTCCTCACTACTGATGTCAGGCTAAACAAATCTGCAATTCTCATTTTCTTTTTCTTCTTCCCTTTTTAAATATTGGGGTTACATTTGCCACCCTCTCACCTGTAGGAATTGCTCCAGAGTCTATAAAATTTTGGAGGATGACCACCAATGCATTCAATATTTCCAGGAATATTGATGGTCATTTTCTAAAATTTTATAGACTTCTGGAGCTCAATTAGTATTGATGCTCCATTGCTGCACTCCACCACAGAGGCAAAGGAACAATTCAATGAGGAGCTCAACATGCTATCAGCACAGTCGCCAGGTCAGACAACCTTACCTACAAGGAGCTTCTAAGCAACAGTAACTGTGGAACATAATTGATGGCACTCTGGTCTTAGACCTCATGACCTGCGATGAAAGAGAAAAGACAGGGGCTACTTGAAATTTTAATGAACAGAATGGACTAGAGTGACACAGTGGTTAGCACTACTTCCTCACAGTGCCAAGAACCCAGGTTCGATTCCAGCCTTGAGTGACTGTCTATGTGGAGTTTGCACATTCTCCCCCATGTCCGCATGGATTTCCTCTGGGTGCTCTGGTTTCCACTCACAGTCCAAGGATGTGCAGGTTAAGTGGACTGACCATACTAAATTGTCCCACAGCGTCCAGGGATGTGCGGAGGAGGTGGGTCAGCTGGGGTAAATATGGGGTTGCAGGAACTGGATCTGGGTGGGATGCTCTTCAAAGGGTCAGTGTGGACTCGATGGGCCAAATTGCTCTTTCTGCATTGTAGAGATTCGATGATTCTATGACATAAGGACAATACATTGCAGGGCTATAAGGGCAGAGTGGGTGAATGACAGTGAATTATCATGGACTGGGTGGGCAAAATGGCCCCTTTCCATGCTGTATTGATTCTATGAAAAAAGGCAAACAGAAATAAGTAGTTCAGCTAGCTTAGAAAAGGGTCCAAAGAAAGTAGAGGTTAAAAAATCATTCACTTCTTAGTTTACAGCTTTACTTTACAGAAAATGCAGCTGGGACTGTATAACAGAGTAGGACTCCTGAGCCACAACATTCATATATGTTTCATGCAAAGTTGACCACCACAGTACAAACCCATCATCCTATGAATCAGAAGGCTGCTTCGAACAGTGATCGTCCAATATCTTCCAAGTTTCTAAAATGAATGCTTTCAGTTCTAAGCAAACCAGTTTTCCCACTGTCCAAATTAATGAAAGTCTAGATACAATTTTTAAACTGATTTCCCAGATGAGATTTATAAAGATTTCAAGAAATGAAGAGACTTTTATTTTCCAATGCCAACACTTCTCAAAAATTTTATTTGTAAAGAAAGTCTAGCTTGGATTGAACACACCCTACTTGAGCACCCAGTCCTGTACGAAACAAGAGATTGAGGAAGAAACCATGGTTCGGATGGCAAAACCTGCCAGTTGGTAAGAGAACATCTAACTATTTTATGTTATTATTAAATTGAAAGTAGAACTAGTTGAGACTATCCTGGAGTCAGGTTACATTCGAACTGAATACAGAATACAGTCTTATTTAAAGTGACCTATCAGCCAATTTGAACAAAGAATAAAACACAACCTGGGCTAGATACTAACATTCCCAACTGAAAAACGAATGTTAAAAGTTTTTTTTTCATTTAAAAACTATTCCTTAAATGTATTAACATTTCCAACTATAGACCAGAAGTATTCAATGCTAAATATTAATCTTGCGATACTGATAGCAGAAGTGATTCAAATGGGATGGAAGAGGTTTAAAGATGGCGCAAACAGCAAGTGACAATAGGAAGAAAATAGCGAGAGATGGGAGGGTAGTTTAGGGGCAACACAAAGTTAAGTGGAAACAATTATTTCAGGAGTACCAAGGTGTAGAGCTGGATGAACACAGCAGGCCAAGCTGCTTCCTGCTCCTCGGATGCTGCTTGGCCTGCTGCGTTCATCCAGCTCTACACCTTGGTATCTCACATTCTCCAGCATCTGCAGTTCCTACTATCTCTGAAACAATTATTTCAGAACACTGTTTTGCTGGAAAGAAAAATATTGTTTGATTTTTTACCCTTCAGTTCTAGAAAATCTGTTTATGAGGCATTAGGGAATTAGAAAATTGTATCAACTAAATTCTTTACAATTGTAACTGTTACTTAAAAACATTTATCTAATAGATACCAATGGAATTGGTAATATTCTGAGACCATACAATTTCAATCATTAGTACACGTTTACACATTAATCTGAGCTGACAATTCAACGTAATACTGAAGTATGGCTGCATTCTCACATGCTCCTTTCCTGATGGGACTAATAATCATGCCTCCCCAAATTATTTGGGTAGATGTGTCACACAAGGCAAAACACATTTCTCACGGTGCCCCGGTCAACATTGTTCCCGTAAATAACACCAGCAAAAAGAAAAACTATCTGGTCATTTCCCTGATTTGCCTTTTGTTCACCTTGCTATAAAGGCTGTGAAGTCCTTCAATTTGTCCTGTGACAGTCACAGATGACCATTAGTACTTTTTGCTTTGACTTTATCTTTATCTCCTTCGAGAGAAAATAGGGCATGACACCAATTTTAAACCTGCATTTTACTACACATATGACAAGAGGTCCACATAATCTCTGCATACTTTTATTTAAATGTCTTGACTCGATTTTGACCTTTATCCATCTGGGTATAGACTGGACCAATAGCAACGATCCTAAACACACACCATTCAGATGAAAACAGTCAATCATGTGCATTCGTACTTAAAAGTTCAAAGCATTGAGAAGCTTCAAACAATTTTAAAAATGCTTTTTTTTAAAAATGATTTATACCGCGGTTTTAATTTTAAATTTGACTTTTGTGGAAAAAAGACATTATACACATCAATTTAAAATTTGATTAACAGCAGCAATGTTCAAAACATTCATAACACTACATACCTCGAAAGCCACCTTCCAATAAGGTTGTAGCTCGTATCCTCTTCTGCCCACACCATTCATACTCTTCAAATCTGTTCACACTTCCACTCTCATTTTCTATGTCCACTGACTCATCATCATTTGTGCAAGAGCCATCTCTCTGTGGATTGAAATAAACCGTTTTAGTCATTTTTTAAAAACGACTTCAATCACTTTTCTTTAAGTTTCATATAATGTGCATCATTTCAGATGTTTTTTTATTAAAATTAACCGGTGAAAGAGAAAATGATCTCTTTCTATTCAGTGAACCTGATGACATTTGACATAAAAAGTTCATAAACAGGAGTCAAATGATAAAAAAAACAATGATAGTCGTTTTCCAAACAAGAAAACCTCATGTTCCAATTTCTTTCATTCAGTGAAAAATTATCTTTGTCTTCTGCAACTCTCACTAAAATTATTTCTAAATTACTCACCTCCTTGTCTTTTCTATAACAAACTCAGATTAGTTCAATACGCACTCACTGAACTTTAAATGTTATAATTTCCTGGTATGGTTTCCTCTAATTAACATTCTACTATTTACTGACCAATGAACGGCACAGCCCTGCAAACCTTCGAAAACTGTAATCGTTAATTTTGAAACAAATGTATGATAGAGCTTAATGTAACAGGTTGCCTAATGTTTTAATACGTTTTCCCTTCAGCAGTTAGTAGCAATTAGACTGAGCTGACACTTGAATACAATCAATCATTGTGGTTAGGGACAGATCTTTATCCATCATGCAACCTGTCAGGGCCCCTTTTCCTGGCCTGGATTTAAGAATCTCAAAAAACAGTTTGGCTTCCCCTTCAGCAACCAGCAATCAGCTTTGACATGCTCTGCCTCATTACAGTGAAAAAAGACAGGGCTCTTTGGGAATCATTCCTACCTTCTCTATCTTCCTTCTTGACCCAAAGACGTTTCCCTGTGTATGCAATAAAATCAGATCTATACTGGGTGGATGGGGGGGTGAACTTATCAGGCTTTATTAAATGTAACCGTAGCAAAGTTTAAGAGCTATTTACACAGACACATGAACAGGCTGAGAATAGAGGGATATGGACCATGTATAGGCAGATAGGATTAGTTTCGAATGGCATCATAGTGGACGCAGACATGGTGGGCCAAAGGGCCTGCTCCTGTGCTGTTGTGTTCTATATACGATGTTCTAACACCAAGTGAATGCAACATTCCAGCAAAGCAGCAACATGCTCCAATTTTAAAGCAAAAAATTGTTTAACTGTTTCCTGTTTTATACCCCAAAACAATTGTTCTGAACCTTTTTTTTAATGACTGCTTTCACCCCAATTCCTGTTGAAAGTTCAACCACAGACTTAAACTCTTAGCAGTAACAAAATACATTAGAAATACAAAGGTCTTGAAGGCCCATTTTATGACAGGTCTGTACTCTGCTTCCATTTCCTTGTATTTCATTTGAAAAATAAGAACTTCTATTAGAAGTGGGGAGGAATTAACCTAGGACTGCATACAAAATGCAAATTCACAGAAATTTGAGATAATTCTTAAAATAAGACTTCAAATTAAAGTTAATAATACTAAATTAGTTGCAAATTCATGCAAAGAAAAATAACTACTATACCCGATTTTAGCAGACGGATTCAAATAACATGCAATTTGGAAAGATTAACATGTTACAAATGATCCAATACAGTAGAAGTTGGTTTAAAATGTGTAAGAATTTTATAGCTTTCCTAATAATAATTGCAGATGTACACACCCTCACGTGATTTCTGGATACTTTTAATTATTAGAATATCATTACATGTTAAGTGAACTAAATACTTAATTCACAGAGACTGTTATTAAATGGCACTGTCAAGAACCCAGGTACAGATTGCTTTCCTCCAGCATGAGCAATAGAGAAGCAAAATCCTTTCTAAATTAAGCTTTTAAATACAAGTTTGCATTCCTTGAAACCATCTATCTTTAATTTATTTAAATCTATCAAAGTAATTAGCATCTAATTTCACTTGATGACTGAGGTACAGTGGAGAAAAGATATCTAGATATGGACAGGTATACTATAAAAGAAAAGGGCAAAACTCTGACATGATTCTAAGGCAATTTCTGAGAAATAAAATAACGTACAACAGAGGAGATTCCAATAAAAATAATGATTATTTTGCTGCCTAGAGATTTACGAAAGAAATAAATATGGCATTTCGCTGTGCAATTCAGTGTCTGTTGCATTTTGTTACCTTTAGAATAATTAGTTACCTGCACAGGCATAACTAGAATCTCAATTTCTTGTTCCAAATGAAAGACATAGCTTTTGATCAAGATTAATAACACAAATCAGTGAGGATGCCGAGGGAACGGCAGAGATTTTAAATTAATGCTTTGCTTCTGTTTATTGTGGAAGTGTTGTCAACTATAAGATTGTTCATGTTACAGCTTTCGGGATACATAATAAGGAATCTTTAAAGAGATCAAGAAGTCAGCTCAGTGGACATTCACTAAAGAATTTGTAAACATGGATATCCCATGAATTTCCATCAGGAATTTTTTCTTAGACTGAAAGGCTGATAAGGCAGAGCCAACAGGTTAGTACTTGGCCTTCAAGAACAGGTAAGAAGCTGAAGGTATCACAGGTATACCTGATATAGCTACTGGGCTTAGAATCATAGAACTCCTATGATGCAGAAAAAGACTATTCAGCCCATCGAGTCTGCAGCGACCCACCCAACAGCACTCCCCCACCCCACACTAGCCCTGTAACCCTGCATTTCCTTTGGCCAATCCACCTAACCTGCACATCTTTGGACTGAGGGAGGAAACCGAAACACTCAAAGGAAACCCACGCAGACACAGGGAGCAGGGACAATGTACGAACTCCACAGAGACAGTCACCAGAGACTGGAATTCAATTCAGGCCCCTGGCACTGTGAGGCAGCAATGCTAACCACTAGAGAAGGCATCTTCAGAGACACTCAATGGTGTTGCTGGAAAAGTTATGTCTTATAATGATATAATATTTTGAACAGATTACTATGTTAGTGAATGAGGGAAATGCAACAAACATAGTGCACCTAGACTTCCAGAAGACTTCTGAACTGCTAATTCACAAGCTCCTCTAGAAGAACTAGTGCAATGATTAATAATTGCCTTCCAAGTTAGAGAAGGGGAAAACTAGGTTCACTGGCAGATCGCACTTCTTTTCTCAAAGGACAGTACTTCTGTGAATCAGTTTGGCAGCTGGTGCAATGAGCGTTGGATTTGTTGTATATCTTCAAGAGATCTAGGAACTGTTTCAGACTGCACAGCACACCACAGAAACATCAGGTATTGTGTAGTACAAGTCAGGACAAAAAGGGTCAGAGGAAGATTTTCCAAATTTTTAATATCTGACTGTGATTGGCCTGTGTTTTATCTGTTTTTTGCCCACATGGAACCGACATGGCTCTAGATAGGTAGGAAGTGTTTGTGTCACGATCCATAAGCCATCACAACATCTGGCTAGGTAGACAAGCTGGTCTTTTCCTCTCTTACATTTTGCTATGTATGCTTAAGTGTATGCCACATCTAAAAAACTGAATCTTGAATCACAAGGCTTAAAAAAAAAAATTCCAAAAGCCATGCAGTGGAAAAGCTGAGCAAGAAAAGACTTGGATCTGTTTCTAAATTTGCTGTCTGGCAGAAACCAGATAGCAACTAAAATAAATCCAAACGCTTACCTCTTCTAAACCAATTATTATCTTGCCATGTCCGAAAACCAATCTGTTACATTGAGCAGGTGGAAAAGCCTCCTGCAGGGAATGGGATCCTGTTCACGCGCACAATTCAGTTTCTCGATTATGTCATCTAGTTCATGTCCAAACATAATATTAGTTGGAGGCCCGAGAATGGCAGCAGTCACAGATTCTCTGTCAGGCCAGACCTGCTAGGTGGTTGTTCAATAGCCAGAAATTAGATAAACATTGTTTTGGGTCTCCTTATGGTTCAGGAGGAAAAGGTGAATTAATAGGGGAGGTGATGGCATGGTCGTATTATCGCTGGACAGTTAATCCAGAGACCCAGATAATATTCTGGGGACCTGGGTTTGAGTACCGCCAGACGGTGGAATTTGAATTCAATAAAATATCTGGGATCAAGAATCAAATGATGCCCATAAATCATAAGAATATAAGAACTGGGAGCAGGAGTAGGCCATCTGGTCCCTCGAGCCTGCCCCGCCATTTAATAAGATCATGGCTGATATTTTTGAGACTCTGCTCCACTTACCCACCCACTCACCATAACCCTTAATTCCTTTACTTTTCAAAAATATATCTAGCCTTGCCTTAAAAACAGTGAGGTAGCTTCAACCACTTCACTGGGCAGGGAATTCCACAGATTCACAACCCTTTGGGTGAAGAAGTTCCTCCTGACCTCAGTCCTACATCTGCTTCCCTTTATTTTGAGGTGATGCCCTCTAGTCCTAGTTTCACCTGCTAGCGGAAACAACCTCCCTGCATCCACTTTATCTATTCCCTTCATAATCTTATATGTGTCTAGAAGATCTTCCCTCATTCTTCTGAATTCCAATGAGTATAATCCCAGTCTACTCAGTCTCTCCTCATAATCCAACCCTCTCAACTCTGGAATCAACCGACTGAATCTCCTCTGCACCCCCTCCAGTGCTAGTATATCTCTTCTCAAGTAAGGAGACCAAAACTGCACACATAGCCTCCCTGTTTTTAAACTCCATCCCTCAAGCAATGGCAGACAAAATTCCATATGCCTTTTTAATCACCTGCCATCCCACCTTCAGCGATTCATGCACAAGGACACCCAAGTCCCTCCGCACAGCAGCATGCTGCAATTTTTTACCATTTAAAACATAGCCCATTTTGCTGTTATTCCTACCAAAATGGATGACCTCACACTTATCAACATTGTACTCCATCTGCCAGACCTTTGCCCACTCACTTAGACTATCTATATCCCTCCGCAGACTTTCAGTGTCTTCTGCACACGTTGCTCTACCACTCACCTTAGTGTCATCTGCAAATTTTGACACACCACACTTAGTCCCCAACTCCAAATCATCTATGTAAATTGTAAACAATTGCGGTCCCAACAATGATCCCTGAAGCACACCACTAGCCACTGACCGCCAACCAGAAAAACACCCATTTACCCCTACTCTTTGCTTTCTACTGTTCAACCAATCCTCTATCCATGCCAATACATTACCTGTAATACCGTGCAACTTTATCTTATGTGGCAGCCTTTGGTGTGGCACCTTGTCAAATGCCTTCTGGAAATCCAGATACACTACATCCACAGGTTCCTCATTGTCCACCATGCAAGTAATGTCCTCAAAGAATTCCACCAAATTAGTTAAACATGACCTACCCTTCATGAACCCATGGGTGTTCCCAATGGGACAATTTATATCCAGGTCTTGCTATTTCTTACTTAATGATAGATTCAAGCATTTCCCCCACTACCGAAGTTAAGCTAACTGGCCCATAGTTACCTGTTTTTTGTCTACTTCCTTTTTTAAACAGTGGCGTCACATTGGCTGTTTTCCAATCTGCGGGAATCACCCCAGAGTCCAGTGAATTTTGGTAAATAATTACTAGTGCATTTGCTATTTCCCCCATCACCTCTTTTAGTACCCTGGGATGCATTTCATCAGGGCCAGGAGACTTATCTACCTTTAGCCCCATTAGCTTGCCCAGCACTGCCTCCTTAGTGATAATGATAGTTTCTAGGTCCTCCCCTGCTATAACCTTCTTGCCATTACTTTTCGGCATGTTATTTGTGTCTTCCACTGTGAAGACCGACACAAAATAACTGTTTAATGTCTCGGCTATTTCCTCATTCCCAGTTATTAAATTGGCCTTCTCATCCTCTAAAGGACCAATGTTTACCTTCGCCACTCTATTACGATTTACATATTTATAGAAACTTTTGCTGTCTGTTTTTATATTCTGAGCTAGTTTACTCTCATAATCTATCTTACTTTTCTTTATAACTTTTTTTGTGGCTTTCTGTTGGCCTTTAAAGATTTCCCAGTCTACTAGTTTCCCACTACTCTTTGCTTTTTTGTATGTGTTTTTTTTTGTCGATTGTCCATTTTCTTTTGTCCATTGTCGATTGTTGGAAAAGCCCATCTGGTCAACTAATGTCGTTTAGGGAAGGAAACTGCCACCCTTACCTGGTCTAGCCTACATCTGACTCCAGACCCACAGCAATGTGGTTGATTCTTAATCACCCTCTGAGCAATTAGAGGTGGGCAATAAATGCTGCTTAGCCAGCGACACCTTTATCCTATGAATGAATAAAAAAAAGCTCCTCCACGGTTTACAATGAAGCATCAGATCTCTCTTTCATAGAATCCCTTCTTGACTGAAACCAAAAAATGCCCTTAAATTGCCTCAATCTGCTCACTGTAGGACACCATTCTCACAAGTTTCACCACAACCTTCTGTCACTACACTCCTGATCCCAATCACCGGCTTGGTAGAGGATCTGCTCAGGTTTGGATGAGATGCCAAACGAGGACTAGCCAATAAAATCTGACACGAAACCATGTCCGAGGGTTTACAGGCCATTTTAAGGATTCTGTACGGTGTTCCTTCCTTACTTTAAGAAAATGTTTACTTCAACTCCTCCATATTAGCTTTATAATAGGATCTATAATGGGGTCGACATCAATTTTGGAAAAGCAAAATCCCTAAAAGTTGTACATATTCAACGATTTTGCATTGTATGAATTTTGGATTCTTTGTTGAATAATGGGATAGCAGGCGAGGAATTAAAATATAATAAAGCAGTCCCTTGAAATCCATCAATCCAAGAACTTGAGTGATTTGCAAACAGCAGCAAAACAAGGAACAAACTGCAGGCAGGACTTAATCTTAACATGCAGGGTAAATCACAGGATGCACTCTTTTTTGACAACAGGAATCGCGACAGTATTAAAAAAACATAATTTAACAGCTGAAGTGAGGGAGTGTGTTTCTTTAAGGATACAAAGTCCAACTGGCGATAATTAAAAGCTACTCAAGTAAAAGCTCCTCAAGCTTGAGGTAAGTACCTTGCCTTTGTTTGTGGCAGCGTCAATTAAGGTTCAGTAACATTTTGACTCAGATATGTTTTGTTCTTGGCAGAATGATTTGACACATTTAAAATGACTGTCAGTGTTTCTTTAAATATTCATCTAAGTATGGCACAGAAATTTACATTAGACAGCTTGTGGCATCATGATGGACTAAGAAATTCAAATATGGAAACATATCATAGTGCTAACAGAGCTAATGTCATTGCTCACACTGAATCAGAAGGTAGGCTGCTTTATGCCAAGCAAATGTAACAGGGCCACATTTATGGTGATCCAATAGGAAAGGCATTTTTATTTGATATTCTTTACGGGAGTTAGTTTTTTTGTGGCTCAAATCATGTCCACATTTTCAAGGAAACTGTAAATCAGTGAAATTCATTACTACATCTGTTTAGTTATGTGCTCAATTTTATGACTTACCTTATCTTGAAGCTCAGGATACACGAGAAGCTGTTCCATGTTGAGAAAGGTAGGAGATAATGGAGAAGTACTGGTGAGGGGCAACTTGTGTTGTGCTGTTGTAAAGACAGGAGTCTTGGGGTCTAATGGGACTCTGGTGGGGTTAAAAGAAAAGTAAAAGAGTGTTGCAGTATGGATGTTCTGAGAGACTGGTGTGTTGCGATTGAGAAAATGATGAGAAAATACTGCTAATGTGTGACAGTGGTAGCAGTATGCTTTTAGGTATACTGGGAAGGGTCTTCTAGGAGTTGAGAACAATGAGTTACAGGGTCACACTGTCCAGGAGCAATTCACGAGTATACCTAAGAAGACTGGGAAGCAAACTATTCCATTTTAGAGACAGTTAATAGACTGTTGGGATTCTGGAAGCATTTGAAATGAGTATCTGGATAATGAACAACTAGCCACATGTTTCCAGTAAAAACAGGAAAATGACATTAGGATATTTCTCATTATGGGTTTTAGACTAGTGAAGTGTCAGCTATGCTTTAGGTGGGGAAGCAGAAGATTGGATCATAAAAGGTAAGCGGCAGGCGTAGAAATGGAAAGCAGAGACTGGAACTGGTGTGCTGATTGTATGGAAGTAATGCACAATGAAGCAACATATGTCACTAGTGCAAGTATGACTTTGAAGGAGCATTGCGTGGCGTCGATTAGGTGCGGTAGCATGGGGAGGATATTTGTTCGATATGAGAATACTGGGAAAGGATACTGGGGAAACTGTAAATAAAATTTAGACTGTAATCCTGGGAACATTGGGTAGGGAAGATATGCTGGCCTCTGGAACAACAGAAATATATCAATACCCTAAACCAGGCTTCTGAAAAGATGCAAGAAAGAGGAAAAAAAAAGACTTGTTGGTGCTCCAACATGCCCATCAACTACCTTGTCCAGACAAGCTTCCACATGTCTACTCATCTCCTCCACAGTTCCAGAGAGCGTCTCATTGCACAGCGGACATACCTGGCCATCCTCTGAGGCCTTCTTCCTCTTGTTTTTCCCTATTCGTGCTAGAAAACAAACAAGAACAAAGTTTTACTATCAGTGTTCTTCAATTAAAAACTTCCAAAGCTCTCATTTAATTTAACAATGAATTAATACTTTATGGCAGATGAATTTTAAACAAAAAATAAAGCGTACAAAACAAATCTATCAAACTTTGAGCTGAATTTTAACAAGGAAGCAACACCAAGTTTGAACAGGTATGGATGAATAGCAATAGATTCAGCTAGTCCGAAAGGAAGGGGGACCAGTACAATTTACCAGTTTAGTCACAGTCCAACTAATGAAAGCATACCACCACCAACCCTCAATTTGCTATAATGCTCACTGTCAAGGAATTTATCTTACTATTTTTCTACACTTTGCCTCTCCAATAAACAGTATACATGGCTAGATTATATCATCCTTTTCATTACCAGTGAGGATTTATGCAAGAGGGTTTCTGCAACATTAATGTTAACTCTTATGGATGAATGTATTTTTGATCTATCTGTATGATGCAGAGAGACATTATGGAGTAAAATGTACACTCAGCCAAAAGGCAAGCAGGCATGTTTTCTGTTTTACAATTCATGATGTATTAATTTACTCTATCCAAATACAGTTTCATTTCATTTCATTCACACTGAGAGCACACTTAATAAACTTCAACAGCCACACTCAGCTCCTCTGAAAACCTTCTACAAATCAAAGCTCGTTCCATGCACTTTCTCCTCTGAACAGTGTTTCAGCCATTGAGATACAATGACCACTCCAGTCACTGCAAAACTGCACTGTTTATCTAAGTGTCATTTCTTGGGAGGTGGTGCCTTCTGGATGGAAAGTTCAATCCTATTTGGTTGTTCACATGATTGTAGAGGTTCAAGACAGACCAGAGAGTCCTCCTGATATCCTGGCTATGAATTCTCTCTAAACTAATATCAATTGTCATTTATGTGAGCTTGCTTACATATATTGGAATGGTACAACAAAGACTGCATTAAAAAATTGTTGTAAAGTATTTTGTAATGTCCTGAGAACACAGATTTTGCTCAATAATAAGTTCTTTACTTATGACTCAGTATAACATGGGTTACAGGAGGCTTATCAACCCCTTAAACACCCTGAGCAAAAAAGAATTTCATCAACACAGTAAAAGAAAAAAAAATTGGAAATTTGGCATTCATTGCTATTTAATATAAAGATAAAAACAAATGTTCTAGAACAAAAGTTAAATGACAGCAAATTGTCAGTATACATCAGTAATAGCACATTCTTTCGAATGCTAAATTAGAGAGAGCTGGAGTAGTTGAACAAGGAAACTCAATTAAGTCATACAGTTAGTAATACACTGCTGCCCAGTTTAATGTATTGCAAGTCAAAGATGGTTTAAGACTCTCTCATGTCTAGACACCGAAAATAAATAAATAACCATTTTAAAACAGTGCCCAAACACAGCAGGAAGGCTTAATTTATGTAGAAGCTCCCTTTCCTGAGTAAAATCAATGAGAGACTGTGCCTCATCATTTGCAGGCAGCTGATGGCAGAAATAGCACCATTATGCATTTTAACAATATACCAAAAGGGTATTTTTATTTTAAAACAACAAGATATGTTGATCAGACAAAAATCAGGATTCTGTTTAATACATGCATATCACAGCAAATATCATCCTTTCGTGTCAGGGTAAAATAAAAGTTTTGTTACAGTTAACTGAACTACTCTTCCTGATGATTTATCAAAGTCATTTAGAATATTATACTGAAAAATGAGAATAAAGATCCTTTGGAAAAGTCTCTCTCCCCAGTTCCCTTCCACATCTTATTCTTAACATGAAATTACATCAAAATGTCTCCTCTTAATTGCTTCATTAGTTTATGTTTGATGACTGAGCCATCCAAACTATGAAGGTCTCAGGCTGCATGTAGCAATAGCTGATCACTTGATGGTCCAAATTTGTATTTGTTGGAGATATGTAAACTTAAAGGGTTCTGGCAAGACACTGAAAAAGTTAAAGCAGATGAAATGCTTGAAATGATGGGACTAAATAGAACCAGGGACCATTCATACACAATGAGAATACAGGCAGTTGAATTTCTGGATGTATTACTTTTCCTCTGAGGAAGAGAACTTTGTCAAATAAGTGAAAAAATTACTAGACAAATTTCTGAAGAATAAAGTGGTGATCAGCGGACGTTACCTGCACAGCATTGAAGGAGGACAGCATTGTTTGAGGTGCCATTTTTTGGATGATGTGCCAAGACCCAACCTGCCTCTGAGATATACATACAAGATTCTGCAACACTCTTAACTATATAAGAATAAGCAGTAAGTTCCCCTACGGTGTGTGGGCAATACTAATCCCTCAAACAACATCACCAAGTCATGTTATTCAATCATTATGACATTTCTGTTTGTAGGACCTTGGGCACGAGAACAATGTATACATTCCATTGGTGGAAAGTGCTTTGTGATATTCTGTGGTTCTAAAACATGCAATATAGCTACAAATTTTACTTTCTTTAAATCCAACAGAAACAGGGTGAGCACGTGAGAGTCTGACAAAATGGAAAGTTAAAATACCGTTACTGCAAAATGTCAACGATGCCCAAGACAAAGCTCACAATAATAACAAACAAAAGTTGGGGCTGTTAGATAACCACAAAATCTGTGGTTTACTCCAACTTCTGAAACATGAACTATTTAGTTGGGGCAAAAGACCCCATAAATCATTTACTAATTCCACCTCACCCCATTTGCCATGTCAGAAACTCATCAGAATCAAGAGAAACTTATTGGAACCACAAATATTTTGTTCTTTTTCCCGCTCGATATAATTAATTTGTACATTTTAAAATTAAATATCACATAAAATTCTTAATGCCTAAAAATAGTTCTCATTTAATAAGTATTAATATACAAGATAACACTTATTTGGAACATTTTAATGTGTTAAAAATCTCTACAGTAATCTTTTGCTGGGAAACTAATACACATTTCACATCATGAATACTCAAATAAAACTAACAGTAACACAAATTTGTCTTACAAAACCACACTGCTGTTGCTCATATTTAAAACAGCCTGTGCGCAGACATGATGCCAGTCTGATTTTGTGATGTCACGTAAGTAGGATGACGTGGGTTCTAGCCTACTTCCATGGATGTCTTCAGCAGTGGCATTGCGAATTAATGACTTGCATTTTAGACCAATCCATGGACTACACTTTCAGAACCACTAACTTAAAATGGGGCAGGAATACGCCATTCAGTCTGAAGTACGTGCTCTACAATTCTAGATCTGGATGATCATCTCCCTCAACACCACATAGGAATAGGTACATAATGCAGTAAAGAAAAATGGCAGCCTGTCAGAATTATCTGATACTCATTTGACACAGCATGTTTTTATATCAGTTCGCAACAAAAGACTTTGAGGTGCAGTTCAGATGCCAGCGAGGCAGAACCTGATTTACACTACTTTTAACTGGTTAAAACTTTTTAGGTTTCTTTTGGAGAATGCTCTGTGCACTGTATCAAGGGAAGATGCAGAGATCTCTTCCATCAGTTGGAAATTTAAATGTTTGAAGAGTGGGCAGGAGAAAAGCCTAACTCTCAATAATTTAAATTCAAGAAAGGGAGTCTTCAAAAAAAATGCTTCCAAGGGATCTGTTATAAACTAGGTTCAACACTATGTTGGCTGTGAAAAATGTGAGGCAAGAGGCCTCAAGATGCTTTGCTCAAATTTATTCTGCAGGCACTCTGGGTCTGACTGTGGATGCAAGCTTAAAGTTGAACATCAGTGCAAAAGGCAACAGTTTTACAGAGACGTGTAGAAAATTCAGGACATATCTAATCTAGACAGTGAACCTATACAACGGAAATCGCCTTTTTATTCTTAGTTATCAGTACAGTGTGCACTGCTGTACAGCTATACTGATAGAATATTAAGGAACTCAAGGCATCTACTGGAGAATGAAACAATTTCTACATCCACCCCTACATATTCACAGACATTTTCATAGTTTCAAGGTACTGCGAACAAGCTTATTGAATCAAACAGCAAAGAGGACACATCAAATTAAAAAAAAACGCAATACATCTCAAGGAGTTTATTCTTGCCAGCATGAAAATTCATAGAAGAAATAATTTATCATGACAATTAGGGTCTTAATTTAAATAGCAATCAGACAGCAGATTAAATGTGTCGTGGTAGGAAAACCAGGATATTTCGCGAATCCGTTTCACTCGACAGTCTCACTTCAAAACTGTCCTCATTCTACTCCCAATCCCCAGTGCTCATTTATGCATTTTCCTTCCTTTATCCTTTTCTTTAAAAACTGCCCAGCACGTAATTAGAAATTTAACGCTGCAGAACACTGCCTATTACATTGTAATTCTTTGTTCTTTCTTAACTGCATATTGAGTGATGCTACATTAATTTTTAGGTACAAGTAATATGAAATGTAAAGGGGGGTGAGAAAGCCATCCACGGCTATATGCAGATTATTCAGCTGTCTCTGGCTAAATACTAAATGAATAATCTCTGCTCTAATCGACAATGTACTTTTGAAAGGCTCAGTTGAATAGAAAAACCTAGCTCAATTACGCTGGGCCCACTAGTGTAACTACCACTGAATTCATAATATCTAGGTTCCAGAGAAACACAATTCTTTTACTGTCTTCCACAGAGTGCAAACCTGATAGCACATTACTGAAGCAAAATGATATTATGACCCAGGATTAGCTTTGCACTCATGGTGGCACAGCCAGTGTTAGAAAGGTTAATATAAAACTAAATTTTTTGAACACGTCAGATTGATTAACACTTCCATAAAACAAGAAAAGTAAATTCATTTCAAATTAAGAACTGTGATTCATTTTCTGTTCCTGTGTTGTCATACAGTTGATACAGAAAGCAAGTGAATTAGATTCATCAGAAACTGCAAGTTCTTCAGTGTAAATGTTGGTTTTTTCTCCATGCTGATTCCTGATGTAATATATGAAAGAGACTGTCACACTTAGGAGGA